TATAATAACTTGCCAGGCAGAGCTGATAATAAATGTGTGTCTCGGTCCTAAAATACTGTTCTTCATATGCTCCAGTCCTCCCTGGCATAAGGACAGTATTGTATGAAGAATTAAATGGACAAGCTCTAAACAGCTACACAAATTGTTATAATGGCATCAGTGTAGAAGGAGTTTATTGTTAGAGTTGAATAGTGGGACTTGCTTCCTGGGCACTAACCTTTCTGCCTATTAATTCTTTGACATGGAAGGAATTAATAAGATTCCCAGAGAATAGCTTGTGTACATGGCTTGAGGAACTTAATTAGTATAAAAGAAACAGTATTATTCCTAAAGCTACTTCATTACTGTTGGCTTTACAATAGGACTTTTGCCTAAAATGTCCCTGGCTCCTGATTCACTTCCTGCTATAAACTCAGCAAAACAACAGACAATTCACAGAAGATATATAGCCCTGCATTTCATCAGCAGCACATGTCAGGCAGAGCTCGGTTATCTGTGGTAAAGGAAGGGCTTTACTGTGGCACTATAAACTGGTGCTGTTGCTCCAGCAGTTGCTGTTCAGTTGACTTGGATGGAAATTACAGAAGGGAGCTGGCATTCCGTGCCTGCTTTATGACAGGAGTTCACTCCAGCCTTTGGGTCAGTGGGAAGGACTCTGTTCCCCGTGGTGCAGAGGCATCCATTTATGCTGACCTGTGTGGCTTCTTAAAAAAAAAAAAAAGCTAACGGAACAGAAACTTTATTCCTGTCTTCTCTGCAGAAAACAAATGTGGATAGCTGGTAAAAGCTGACTTTAGCCATAATTTTGTTTAAAATTCCATTATTAAGAGGAAATAGCATAAAGGAATATCTTAGAAAAATTGGTTGTTTTATACTGAATTGTAGGAAGTTGTGTGGGCTAGACACTATGTTTTTTAACCTTTTTTAAGTTGCCTAGGCAAGCTCTCCATACTTGAACTTTCCCAGTAATGACGATCACATAGATACCTTTGCTATTGACAGAAAGTCTTCTATGCCTTAATTATTCTGCAATTTTGTACCTATTAAAAGCAAATAATTCACATCCAAGGTAGTCATAGACAATTGTTGTAAAATAGAAAAGTTTGGACAGTATGAAACAGTAATTAAAAACACTTGTGAAAAACAAGGAGACAACAAAAAGTACTTCAGACAAGAACATGGCTTTTATTTGAAAGGGTCTTTCCCAGTGAAAGCTGGGCAGTGAAACAGTGAAATTGATTGATTTGAGTGGAATTAAATTTAATAATCTGAAATTCGTTGTCATTGGTTGGCATATATAGTCACTAATGTCATTACGTTTGCAATCAAAATATGGTTCAGGATTTAAATTTACATTTACAGTGTAAATAAAGATTATAACACATGGAGTTTCTTAGCAAGAGAGAAGGAGTTTGAAGAGAATTCTGAAATGTTATGGCAGCAGTCAAGAAACACAAAATTGCTTCTGAGTGAAGGCAAGAGACAGAATTTCTTTATAGGGAAAGTACTAGTGCCTAAAACGACACATGGAATTTCTGAGGACAGCAGAAGAAACAAGAAGCATATTTAAAAATAGATTGTGTTAAAAGTAAAAATAACCGTGGGATACTTATCTAAAATGAGAGGATTTTTTTTTTCCCCACAAACTTCCTGTCCTGTTCCTAGCAGTCTGAATCAAATGCTCACCAGTGGGGCTGGAGAGACTGTCAGCTGTTCTTCTAAGGAAAAAGATTAAGGTAATCTTTCACTGGATGTCACATGTTTAAGATGACTGAAAATGTACAGAGAACAACTGCTTTTTAATACTTAGGAAAAAAAATCAAAGTACCGAAATCAAAATTATTAATATGGTGGAGTGTGATTCTCTAAATAAGTAAATTATTTATGGCATCATAATAGTGTCATCTTGCTGGGATCTTGCGTCACTGATGATAGATATAATTAGACCACTAATCTCTTTTAATTCACTATGAGAAAAATGTAATCTTTGAATATACATAAAGCCAATTTACATTTTGATAAATTGAAAGAAATTGTACTTTATTAACCTTTGAGGTGTATTTCCCCAATCAGTTTTTCAAGTGCATTATATGTATTTATTCAGTGCATGTAGCCTCAAGTCCTGTATATATTTATACAGACATTAAACTGTTACTATAAGTAATGCAGTCAAATTGCTGTACAAGCATGTATATTAACCCCAGTGCAGACAAATTCTGCTTTCTTTACAGGAAGAGCAATAGTGTTGATTCCAAAAGTACATTAAGGTGACTCCAATAATGTTGCTTTCAAATTGTTTCAAATACTACATTTTGAACAGGGTAAAAACTTGGCAATTAAAAATGTATTTTCAAAACTCTGGTAACCTTTATTGTCTTACTAACTTCCAGAGGTGTCTAGGCGTTTTTCATTTAAGTGTCAAAAGGATAGAAAACATCTTGCAAGCAGAAAAGAATATTTAGCAGGCTCAAAAATACTGTTCCCTAAAGTGGCGCCTTGAGAAATTTACAAATATCAAATTAAGATTTTCATAAAAATTGCCTTTTGCTAAGCTTTATTTTTTCCACCTAATAGTCTTGATTTTTTTTATCTCCAAAATTATTTCATAGCATTTATAAACATATTTTGTAGCAGTTATAAAGATGCTAGTTGAATCATAAAGATGTTTAAGTGAAACACTGAAAACTAAGTGTATATATGGAAATACAGTAAAATATATGTAAATAGAGTAAGAAATTGTATGCAATTTCCATGTACATATTATAATGTAATATAAATAATTATATGTTATACATATATATATACATATAATGTATAAGCAGTACATCAGCTTACCTAAGTCAATACATGGCAATAGCTGATTTGAAGAATATTTTCTTCATTGTTAAAAGATTGTCTGATAGTTTGTGCCACCAGACTCAGGACCTGAAGATACCTTTCTTACTTCTTTTACAATAATCGTCCCCAAACTGGCCTAAGATAAGAACCATGGACCCTAGTTTTCACAGGGAGTAGAATAGATGCAATCAATCAGCACTGGGTTTGTGCACAGTGGAGTGGTTTTGGGGCACAAGGTGGTAGCATTCAATAAACTGTGGGGAATAGTTGGGGATTTTCTGTGCCAGTCCACCCCAGGCTGCAGATTCTGACTTCTGCCAAACTGGAATTCCCTTTCATGCAGTATGAGCTCCGTTCTATCATTTACCCTGAATTCCTCTTCTGTTTCTTCCATCTTTGAACAAGTTTGAGCATTATTTGAGCAAACAAAGAGATTAATGTCTATTTTGATGTAAGATTGAAGGAAGTCTAGGTGTTCTGGCATGGAGAATTTCCCGCTTTATCAGTGCTCTAGGCAAAACAGAAGCCTAAATCTGAGTCCAGTTGTTTGTACAAAAAATGTTGTGTAAATTCCTCATTTCTAATCAATCTCCATTCCCTTGGAAGCCAGAACCAGTTGAAATTCCATATGAAGGTGACTCCCAAAATAACACACTGCCTTTCCACTATGACACAAGGGCTAAATGTATTGTACCTATATGTGTGTGTGTTGGCATGGAGAATTTCCAGCTTTGTCAATGCTCTAGGCAAAACAGAAGCTTAATTCCTTACAGAAATAGCTGTATTTATGATTGTATATGTCCCCTGTAGTGTGCTGTAAAGAAAGCTTGATCTCACATTAATGAGAGAGACTGTAGAAAACTAAAGTGCAGCTCTGGTCAGAAGTGTAAGAAACAATAAATTACAAGATGTCTCCTCGCAAATGTGAACTGTTAACTTTCAACATAGGAGAGTGAAGAAAGGGAGGCTAGGGAAGGGAGAAATCATGTTCAGTCTTAGGAAGCTTACCAACCTGGCCAAATTTCGCAGTAATGTTAATAGCAATTATTTCCAATCCATTTGTCAAGGACATTCAGAAGATAAATTTTATCCCAGTGTTATGGTCTTAAAATCCTGCTCAACTAATCTAAGTGAACTAAAGTTAATGAGTCACAGACCGAGTGAAAGAGTACAGGAAGACTGGACGCCGATCTGATTATATGCGGACTTGCATAAGAAAGACGGCCAAGAGGAAAGTACTGTTTTGCAGCCCTACCCAGTCATCCGGAGCTTTTGCTGTCCTCGAACCAGGCTGTCCCCGGGGACAGCGCTGGAGGCACAGCAATGAGAAGGGCAGATGGAGGGGAAACGCAGAAACTAGCGGCGAAGGCAAAGATTGAAGGGACGAAGGAAGGTCACTGTGGTGGCTGCTGCTTGAAACTTGAAATAGTTCTCTGTCTAAAACAAATACATCCGAAAGATAAGCGAAGGCGTGAGTAACAGTTCTGATAGTGGGCGAGAACCGCGTAGCTCCGTGGAGAGCGGTGTAACCAGACCAGGAGTGCCATGTCAGAGGTGGCCCCTGTCTCTGAGCCCGGCCCGGCCCGGCCCCGGGCGGGCGCTCCCCATGCAGCAGTGCCGGCGGAGCGGGATCAGCGCCTGCACCGCTGCCAGGCGCGGAAAAGTCCCTGACACTTCCCGGGATCTGTGAACTCGCTCGCATTTCGCTTCGGAAAACAACATCTGCTTATTCACGGTGCCGCGCCGTGGAAACGGGACACGGACGCAGTGTTATTCCCGCCGCGCCCTGCCACGTTCCGCAGTGCTCCTGTCACGGTCTCCTACACTTGGACACCTGGCTGATTCTGCTGCCGGGCATACCGGGCAGCAGCCGCCGCCCCCGGGGTGAGCCCGGGCCGCGTCCGGGGCAGTCGGAGCCCGCCGGGGTGAGAGCCGGGGGGCGGCGGGGCCGCGCGCGTGGCTCTGACCGTCCCCGACGGCCACCGGGGAGCGCGCGCCAGGCGCGGGCGCGCGCACCGGCCCTCACCACCCCCGAGGGGGAAGCGACGTTGATTGGCGGTCGCAGGGAGCCAATGGACGGCGGCGGAGCGGGAGCTCGCCCGCGCTCTCGACCAATGGGGAGGCGGCTGGGCGGGCGCCAGGGGGCGGGCGGGGGCGGCGGCGCCGAGCGGAGCATAGGCGTCGGGTCGGTTCCGCCGCGCGCTCGTCGTCTCGTCACCCCCACCCCCGCCGGGCACGGGCGACGGGCAGGTCCCGGCGTTGCAGGTGAGGGCCGCTCCGTGCTCCGGGGTCCCGCCTTCGGGAGAGGCTCGAGCTGGTGGCCGGGTTGTAATCCCCGTCGGAGCCGTTGGGCAATGGCGGGCGGTGGGTCGGGTCGGGGCGGGGGGAGCCGGTAGTGCCACGGCCGCGCCGGCGGCGCGGCCCGTGCTGGGATCGGGCCGAACGGGCCGGGCCGGGCCGGGGGATGACCCCCGGGGAGCCCGCTGGATGCGGGTCGCCCACCCCACGGCACTGCGGCGGGCGCGGGGAAGGTGAAGCTCTCCTTGCACGGCGCCAGGCGGGGAAGGGCAGGGCCGGGGCTTGCGAGGGATGACGACACTGGCTCGGTTCCTGTAGGAGGGGAGAGCTCCCTGCTCGGGGAAGTTTAGTGACCCACTCGGTGGTGGTGGCGGCTTTGATTTGGGGAAAAAAAGAAGGCGAGGATGGAGTCCTAAATTTGAGCAGCTGGATTTTTCCTCGCTTTGAAATCCCGGCGCCCCGGATGATGGCAGGTAACGATGCTAATTTGGTGGGAGGAGATGTTTCTACGGGGGAAGAGTGAGATTTTAGACAGCTCAGGCCCTCCTGAGTACTGGTAATGACCCAGCTCAGTCAAGCTTCTTGGTCTTGGCGTTGCCGCCTTCTATCTTAACTTTCCTTTTTTTGGCCTATGGAAAGAATCTCCTCATGTCCCAGAGCAAAACGTCTGTGTGAGAGACAGACATCTCTTTATGTGCACTGAGGCTACCTAGTTAGGGAAGAACAGGATGGGTACTGTATCTGTCCTTCTCAGCTGTCTCTGCTTGGAGTGACTCAGAAGCCGATAGATTTAGACATCCTTTTGCCTGAGCACTAAAGGAAGCCAGACAGACGCAAGTGGCATACGCTTTCCTTTGTAAACCGAACATTTTGAAAACTAAATGCTGTCTTGCAGTTTTAAACACTTGAATTACTTGACTAAAACTGTAGATTAGCTAGGATAATTTAAAGCTAGTTCACCACTCCTTGTGTTTCCTATGCCTGTTTGTGTAAGTTTGATAATTTGACACAGTCTGGGGTAAAAAAATGAGCCGTGAATGTGCTAGGCACTTTTGTTTCTGTTGTCTTCCACGACCTCCTGTTTAAGAGGCTGCCACGAGACTGTTCTGTCTTGTTATTGGGGAGTGGGTGAGGGATTCCCTTCTTCTAATTGGGATTTCGTGCCAGCATCTGTTCAGCTCTTCTTTAAAGCCAAAACCCTTTCCCTTTTAAAAGTTAAAACAATAGTAGTGCCTTATTATAAGAGGCATAGCGAAGGCTGCATTGTGTAAAGAACTGAGTTTTCATCCTGGTTTTAGTGCAACAAAAGGATCATTCTCAAACTAAAAGAGTTTGCCAGCTGTGTTTCAGTTGGTCAAAACGTGTTAATTGCATTCTTTACTATTAAGGTTATTAACACCGAATGCTCATGTGGTCGCTGTTTTATACCTGTACCTGCATGAAATTATACTTTGTCAAACTTGCAATTTGCCTTTAAAGATAGTAGTTCTATTCTGCTAATTATGGCTGAATCAGCTTAAACAGGACCACATATTTGCATAAGGAGCATGTCTGTTGAGCACAGTGCAGCATCATTTGAGAGATCCCTGATCTCTGTTCACCACAGCTTCAGTGTGGTGAGCAGAAGAGGTGTGCAGGTGCCACCTTGCTGTGACTGTTCTGTGCTAAAATGCTCCAAACTCCCTTTGGGAAGTCGTTTACAAATCTGGATTTTTTTTTCTTTTTTTATGCCTTTGAAATACCATCATAATAAAATGGCTTTTTGATTTTGGTCTATGAATGTTTTTAAACAATGCCTTCAGAAAATACCTAGATGATATATCTTTCTAGTGGGTAGATGTCTGCGTTCTTTTCTTGTGACAAGCCACTTGAATGTTGGTCTGAAATCAGTGAACCTGTTATTTTTAGCAGGTGACATGTTTGGATGATTTAGTGTCAGGAATGAGAAGTTTTGTTCTCGTGGTCTGTCTGTGGAGCATATGGACACCCTTTCCTGCTCTAGAGCTGATTGAGCTACATGCTTAAAAATGTCCGTATGTCAATTCTGTGCTTCCCTGATTGTGGTTAAAATGAGCCTGAAGGTGACTGTGGGTTGAATAGGTAGCCTGTAAATGAAGGCTAAGAAAATTCCGTGCTCATTGCAGGAATTGGACGAAATGCTTAGCAGTGCTGCCAGTCAAAAGTTGCCTGTGCTTGTACAAATTTGTGTTGTAATACAAAGTAGCTAAAAGGTAGCTTTCTGTTTCTGAGTTGGTGTCTGGTTTTCTTAGTGTAACAGCTCCTGGAAAAACTGCATCTTCTCAAGCATTAAGCCAGGAGAAGAGTAGATGCCGACTGAAGGTGGTTTTTGGTTTGGTTTGGTTTTAATATATTTTTTAAAACATCCATATTAACTAATACATGAGTGCCTTTTTAGTTCTTAGAATATCTGCTTTTTAAAAAAATACTATGATTTAATGACTTTCTTGTTGCCTGAAGCCTGGAATGAAGTATCTAATGCTTGAATTTAAGACTAGTCTGTAAGATTAACAACTTCTTTGTAACATGGGATTTAATTCAAACTCTGTCGTAATCCCCAGAACTTCAAGAGGTGACACTGTTCTTTCGACTAAACCCAGTTACTGATTTTTGACTTAATGTAATGATGAACTGTTCCCAGGAGATGAAAAGGAAGAAGTAGGAACTAAAAGAGTGATGTAACTGTGCTGAGGTAAACCGAGCTAAGTGTTCTGTGATTGAATAGAATGCTGTATTTAATATGAATGTTACATGGTTGGTTGGCTCACTGGGGTTGAGGAGAATAACCTGGAGTGAACAGTAAAACAGCTGCTGTACCCTGTAATTGGTTCCACAGTCTCCATAGTCCAATTTGTCACAAGACTTGAATGTTGTTCCTTTATGTGTTATCCTTTAAGGTGTCTTGCTTAGAGGAGAGGAATAATCCAAATTTCTCTAATGGTCTGGTCTAGAATCTGCCTTGATGAGTGCTCCTTGGAGTGTGAGGTATTCTGCTTAAGCCGCTGGTGCACTTGCTTAGAGTCCTGTGGATCTTGGTGGACGGGATGTGTCAATATTTGAGGAGGTTCCCAGCCCTAATTAGTAAATAGGGGTAGAACTAATATGGCTATTGTAACGCAGAACAGTAATGAGCTCCAAGGCAAAAAGAAAATGTCTCTTAGGCTTTAAGTAAGGTGGTTTGGTTCAAATTTTTAGATTATGCAAATACTTAAAAATTGTTCTGGCTTACACAAGGTATTGTAAACATTTTGATAGTATTGGAAAACTGTATCTCAAGCAGTTTGGCTTTGAGCCAGTGCATATTGTTAATCCTTTCTGCTTGTGTAGAACTCTGTTTTAAAGAACTAATTCCAAGGTATCTACAGACCAAAAATTTTAAACTCCCTTCTTTGCCTTTTATCACATACCCTAGAGCAGTGACTGACAGACTGCAATATAAACAGCAGAAATGGTGCGAATGAGAAATCTCTATGGTATTATTAAATATTTCTTTGACAGGGTTTTACTGAAACCAAAAAGCCTGGATTTTTTGTCTTCTTTTGATATAAACTTGTAACTGTAACATAGTGTATGCCCTGAAAATGGGCACCACTCTGACTTTGTGACCCTGTGGATGTGTATGTTCTAAGTATCTTCTATGTCTTCTATGCCTATTCTTCTTCTGTTCTAAGTATCTTCTTATGCCTGTTGTGATTAATGTATCATGGAGTCCTGCTGTACTTGCAAGCTCTTAGCTTCTGGTATAAAGTAATTTGCTACTAATAAAACTGGCTGACCTTGGTATAACTGTACTGTTCATCCTGAAGTCCTTGTTGCAGAAGTGTGATATTATTTGTTTTATTTTATTGTGTCTTTGTGCATGAGTAGCACAAACGGGGCTTATAAGTCTGACTTTAATGTATGATTGTACATTAATCTCTCCCACATACCAGGTAGATCTATTGCCACCTGGTGACTGTGGCAACAAAATGTGTATGTTGACTGGGCTCCAAAAGGTCTAGCAGAGTTTTTGTGCCTGGCATCTCACAGCCAGGGTTTTGGGTTACAAAACCAGCTTGCACAGAACTTCTTACCTGGCATAGCAATAGTAGGTGAATATCAAAATAAGAATTTTTTAAAATACTTTTTTTAATTCTCAATGGCAGATGTGCAGCCATACTGATTAACTTTAAAGTAATATGACAAAGAATATAATGAGCTGGGGATTTTTCTAATTTCTAACTTAATAAGTTAAATAAAAGGTGCAGAGTGAATATGCTTAATATGCCCTTTTTAAAAGAGGTAGTGTGAAGTACAGATTTCAATAAATAATCTGCAGTGAGTAATAGGACAAATGGGACATGGTTTTGGTTTGACTTAAATCTCTCATCATCTCCCTTAACTGAGGCTTTCTTGGCCATTTGACAGATACCTACCTCCCTGCTGAGTGGAACAATGCTGCTTTCTTTTTGGGAGAAATGATAAATGGATAATAAACAGGTACAGATCTGTTAAATGAACTCTGTATTTAATGGAACCACATGTATGCAATATCAGCTTGTAGGCATGCTTACTTCCACAGTTCTTGAATAATATTCTCAAAAAATTTTTTTTTCTGAAGTGTTCAGGTTCTCTTCATCCCTTAATAGCTAAAGATAAAAGCTTCAAAACTCATTTTTCAATTACCTGAAATAATCTAAGTGCTCAAAGTAATCTGGTCAACATATAATTGTGCTTAATTTCTAGGTGGTGCTGAACAGCTTGCTTTAATGTCTAGAGGGAATTCATTTGAAGGGAATTACTCCTAAGTTCTTGCTGTGTTGAGTGAGGTTACAGTTCCGTTATTCCAAAATGTGAACACGCTGTTTTATATAGGAGAAACTGGGTAACCATTTCCTTTACACAACTTTTCATTAGTTTTTGTGTGTTAGAGAGCTTCATATAAAGAATGCTGTCAGTCTAGTGTCATTGAGATACAGGTAGAAATAAATTGAGTCGTTGGCTTTCCCTCTTTTGGGCAATTAAATTCTTAGAAACTGTTACACCTACACCTGGGAGTATTGCCTTCTCACTGATTATTATGTTCGAGCTCTGAGAGTTGAGGTTTTTGTTGTTTTTGAAAGCTGGTGCAACTGAAAGTAGTAACAACCACCACATAAAGAATGATCAACCAATAACTTTTGATTCATAGTACCACTTCCCAAAGCACACTTCCATGCTGCCTTAAGCAAACAGAGTTCTAATGGGAAGCTAAGTGAAAAAAAAGTTTTATTCTGTTCCTGTGTCATTGATGACCTATGGTGAGATGACCCTGGTTGGATGCCAGCTGCCCACCGAACAACTCTGTCACTCTCTTTAACTGGATAGAGCAGAGAAACTAAGACAAAAGGCTCACAAGTTGAGATAAGGACAGAGAGATCATGCTCCAGTTACGATCACGGGCAAAACATACTCGATTCAGGGAAATTAACTCGTTGCAAATCAAATCAGAGTAGGGTAGTGAGAAATAAACCCAAATCCTAAAACACCTTCAACCAACCCTTTCCTTTTTCACAGGCTCAACTTCACTCCTGATTTTTCTGCCTGAGTGGCACAGGGTGACAAGGAATGGGCATTGCAGTCAGTTCTTCACATGTTTATCTCAGCTACTCTTTGCTCCTCACACTCTTTCTCTCCTCCCACAGGAGACAGCTCTCCACAAACTTCTCTAACGTGAGTTCTGTCAGGCTGCAGTTCTTCACAAACTGCTCTGGTGTGGGTCCTTTCCGGGGGTCAGTCCTTCAGGAGCAACCTGCTCCAGTGTGGGTACCCCACAGCGTCCCAGGTCCTGCCAGGAGCCTGTTCCAGCCTGGGCTACCCATGGAGGGGCACAGTCCCCCTTGGGCTTTCATGGCTCCACTGTGGGGTCCTCCATGGGCTGAAAATTTGGCTGTATCCTCAGGAGCATGTGTTGGAGATGGTTTTAATGTATAGGCAGTTTTGGTATGTGGATCACGCATTAGCATTCTGTAGACATTTTCAGATATTATTATTTAATTAAACAGATTTTAAGTGCTGCTGCTCTTAAAAGATGTAATTAGGTTGATTATCCAATTGCTAATAGTATGCAGAAGAAATGCAAAGGAATGATTAATAGACTTTAATCCAGGAAAGAACCATTTGTAATCATCTGATCTTTTCTGAAAAAGACCATCCATAAGATTTGTGTGAATGGATCCCTGTTGGAATTTGATAATCCACAAAGAAAAATTTCCCCTTTAGGTAAAATGGATGTAGAGTCTACCATAACCCTGTTAGGTGCCCAGTTAGCTAATTAGTCTTGCTGCCCCTAACAGGGTAATCTCTCTGATGTATAGTCAGATAATATATACTTCTAGCTGCTACCTAACAGCATTTTATTTATATCCTAAAATTCATTGAGCATGTTCAGCTGAGTGTTCTGCTCCATTTCAGAATTCCTCAAACTTGATGCTTAAAATATTAGTTCATATTTATGAGATAGGGAAATTAAACTTTGTCTTGTACAGCCCAATGTGAATTGCAAATTAGGATCTTTAGGTTGTGTTCATTTCAGCAAACAGTCCAGATAGGTTTATCAGCACTGATTTTGGTCTTATTTTATATTTCCTCAGGCTTTTTTGAAATTTGTCTGGGCAGCAGATCAGTCACGATTCCCGATCTGTTTACAGGTCACCAATAATAATGGTAAATAGCTTAGCAGTAACTTGATTAACACATCCAGCTTTGTAATATTTCTTGACTCTGTCTTTTCAGGGCTCAAAACAAATGTAGCATCAGACTGAGCTTGTATTATTCTGTATCTTGATCAGAATAACTAAACCATCACTCAGTATGGTGTCCTCATAGAAAAGAAAGTGATGCTAAGGATTTGGTTGTATAGTATCTTTGTTTTTACTATGTAATAATAATTATCATCTTGGTATGCTCAGATGCAATCTCACTTGTTGTGTTTTAATTGACTTATCCTGGTTCTGGCCAGGATGGGTTAATTTATGCAGTAGGCAGGAGGGGCATGGCCAGGACCTGGAGGTTATTCTGTACCACATCAGGTAATTTTCCAAGGATGGGGGGAAAGGCTCCCTTCAGGAGCATGAAGGAGGGAATGCCTGGTCATTGTCAGGGTGTTTCTTTGTTCTGAGCCTGCTAGAGCATCCCAAATAGTATTTTAAAATTCTTGAATAAAACCTGGTTTGGGCTCCTAAGTCCTTTTAATTTCTAATTTGAAGGCTGATAATCATACCACCCAGATAAGATTATTTGTCAGCATTCATCTTCTGCCTTGTTACTACATTAAAGTGAGTGATAGCATTATTATGAAGGTTGTAATAAAGGAGTTTTATAATTGCAGTCTACCAATACAACTATTTCTGTATTCATTCTGCTATCTTCTGTCATTTCTAGCTTTTGTTATATTTGTTACTATGAACTTCCCCTCTTTTCCACTTCATATAGAGGTGTTTCTAGAGGTAGTGTGGTTTTCTTCTTCTAATGTGGCTTTGGGGACAGCTATTAAAAGAAGTCTTGTGTAATTATCTATTATTCTCATATTGTATAGTAATATTAAAATAATGCTGAAGTAATATTGTTTTATCAGATTGCCGAAGCTGAGCTTCTCAGGACAGGATGACTTCTAGTTCTGTCATCCATTCTCTTTTGAGGTATGGATGCATGGAATGCCTGCATGGTGAATGCAATGTGCTGTTTGAGTTAGGACACTGTCACCTATAAATCCCATACAAATTTTGCAGTTGGAAAGGTGAAACATGCAAGATACATGGGTGGGACCCAAGGGCCCCACAATAATGTGCCATTCACCTTCCCACAGCAGCTCGTTGCAGATGGAGCTGTGTGTGCTGTGTTGTGCAGTGTGCATTAGTGGCCTCTAGTGGATACCACTTAGTGCTGGCGTGGTGCAGAAACTCTGTGGAGTATTAAGTGTTCTTTAAAGTTGCTAATATTTCAAATGAAAAATGAATATTATTGCAAAGTGTCACCACTCCTTTCTTGACCAGTCCTCTCTCTCTACATAATCACATACAAGCTCTTAAGCTGTGTGACATGTACAGTGAAGTTTCAGTGTTATTAGATGGTCTTGATTTATGTTCCCAAAGGCAATAATCTCTTGTATGTCTGCTGGTTACACATAAGCAATGAAAAAATCTTTTTGCTTTTCTTTCAGGGTGCCAGCCTTTTCTGAAGGGCATCTTGTGTGTGGTTTGTGTACTTGCCTTTTCTTTGTGTTAGCATAACATTTTGTATCTTGTTAAACTGGCTCCAAAGTTTGTTGCTGCTTCTAATCACAGTGATAAGTTACGTCAAAACCAGTGGCAGTCTGTGTTGTGACTAAAACAGGAAATGAGTTTTTCACTGTTACTCAGCTATTTGTTCTTGTTATGTACCCCGTGGTGGTTGTGTTTATCTGGCTGTGCTGTGTCTGGGCTCGGTTCTTTGGTCCAGCAAGAAACTTTTTTATTTTTGCAGAGTCATTTTCAGCTGGATAAATCTTAGCACCTAACTTCCCAAACAGAATCGATGGCATAGGGATGGGTCAGGAGGGATGATGGGGATGTGGCGCAAACAATATCAAAATCACTGTCAGTGGAATGAATTTATGCCATAACAAAGTGATCAGGCTATATATGAGCTATAGAGTGCTATGAATAATTTCTGTAAAGTTGACCTGTAAAGTGAATGTTGAATGTAAACAGATGTTTTTACAATCAGATGCATGCCAAAGGTGGTCAGGTGTAATAAAGAAAGGAAATTTAATGGTTATAAATGCAACATTGCTGTTTGCCCTGGCAGCTGAAGCTGTGCTACCTGAACTGCTGAAATACAACCGAGAAAGATGTGACTCTTCTTCACTCACACTCTACCCTTACACTGTCTACTTAAGGGAATTGCAGATATGCTTGAACTTGTTTCTTGATTTTTATCAATTTTAAATGCATAGGTGAATAGAAAATAAGTATAAAATTATATTCAGTTCATCAATTTAAAGGTAAACTTGTAGGTGTTTTCTTGATTTTTTTTTTTTTTTTTGCTTAAAATATTTTGGAGTGGAAGACAACAATTGAAATACTTTTTAAATTTAAACAAGTTCCAAGTGGAAAGGAGCCAAAAGTCCTTGACTTTTTACTTTTAGAATATTCCCTTGTAAATAATGTAGGTGTTTCTAAGGTTTAATGCTGATATTTTATTCTTATGTAATGAAATACAGTATTTACAGAAAAAAAAGTGAATGCTTAATAATTGTTTAGGAAATTATTTAGATTAATCTGTTGGCACATTATTGTTAAACTAAGTGTTGAAGAAGTAGCTTTGAATGTCAATTCAATATTTAATTTCCAAAATTGATGCAATTTTGTGGAAAGAATGAAGTGTGTTTTTATAATGTTAATATTGTCTTTCCTTTTTTTTTTTTTTTTTTTCATTCTCCCAGGGTAAAATCTGGGTGTACAAAAACCCCATGCTATTGCTATAATTTCCTAGACTGAAAAACTGCTTCCCTACCTTACTAAAACTTCTTTGGGTTTGTGTTTTTGGGTGTTTGGTTTTTGTGCTTTTTTGGTTTTTTGAGGATTTTTTGTTAATTTGGTGGATTTTGTTTAGGTTTTGTTGGTTTTGAGGTCTTTTTTGGGTTGATTTGTTGGTTGGGTTTGTTAGTTTGGGTTTTTTTTTGTTTGTTTATTTTGTTTTGTTTTTTTTTAGAATTACTGGAATTCAAGAAGTAGATTTAGTTAGGTTACTTTTGTTCTGTGATACTGTCCAATCTGCTTTCTTGGCTATTCTGAGTGAAGTACTATACAAGCAGATTTATTTTTCTTTAGGCAGGTGCTTAGGTTGGCTATCAGAGAACATCTTAGAATAGTACTGCAGAACATTTTGTGGTTTTCTTTGTTTAATTGTTGTCTGCACTGGTAGAGGTGCCTGGGATATCATTAATGTCTTGTCTCTTCATTGAGCTAGGACCAAATTTATTAGTTATGTTCGTAGACACAAATTTGAAGAAATTAAAGGACAATCCATATAGTTTTAAGTGATCTGTATGTGAACCTTAAAATTTACTTGAAATGAGATTTGATCATAAAATTGGTTTGAATTTGGCTAAGAAGTTCTTTGTCCAGAGTAGTATATAGGCAGCTGCTTCTGCTTTGGCTTGTTGCATCCCTAGATCAGAGAGCAACCTGTGGATTTAGTCTGTATCAAATGACTGTATTTTTAGCTCTTGGTTTAGCATAGGCTATTCCATAGTTTCTGGTAGAATGTAAATCCCTTGGTGTGTGATGCCATGCGTAAAATCTGTGCTGTGCAATGTTGGTGGTTGTCAGGTCAGTCCCAAACAGATCCATAACTGATAAACACAAATAGATGAAACAAATATCATACAGTGATTCTGAATTTATTTTGAGCTATGCAAGATAACCTATAGTTTCTATGCTTTATACTTTTATTAGTATAATGAAATATGATGTTGTTTTTGATTCTACAGAGATCCACTTTGCTGGGGTTTTTTACTAACCCTGGACAGAAACTAAAACTGTGATTGGAGATCTCTCCTTTATCCCTCCTCTCCTTTCTTGCAAAAGAGGCTGGATAGGAAGCACCTTTGTTTCTACTTGTTGTTAGGCATTGGAGAAACACTTTGTGTAATTAAGAAAAAGTAGTACTAAATTTAGCATGTAATTAATGTGTTGCTAAACAAAATTACTAGTTTTACAGTAATAATTTTAGAAGTTTGTATGTCACTACAAAGGTGTCTTACTGCACAGCAGGAAATAAATGAACAGGTGTGGAGGTTTTTAAGTACATCTAAAGGTATTTTATTTGGTTTTTGCTTTATTTTTTGCATTTGCAGTATTTATTTCACATATGGATTATTTCATACAGATGGATAAAATACTATGTTTTCTAAGTGAGTATTGCTATCCCAGTATAATATCTTTTGATATGATTTGTCTGAGTTGTGAATGATGCTAGTATTTCAGTTTTGAAGTTTATAGTGTGTTTGGGTTTTTTTTTAATTTTCAGGGTTGTGTAAAGCATCTAATTTATCTGTACTCACTGGAATGCAATTTATTAGGTAGGAAAAATATCATCAAAATCTGTTGTACAAATTGGCTCTTGAAAGCTGAAGATTTTATAAGCACACTTCTCAAAATATGTTTTGAATTTGCCAAGGAAAAATGTATCACATTAATCCTTCAATTTTTTTATTGCAGTTATAGAATAGTTAGAGAACGAAGTTATGTAATGTCATTTCAGAAAAAAAAGCTTTTATGAACGTCTTGTGAAACTCTCTTTGTAATGCAATACCAATTAACTTGTGCAGCGTTCAACCCTGCAAATGGGGAGAAATTGGCAATGTAGAACTTACAGCTCTTCTTAAATTGCCTTGTCAACTGTTGTTGCAATCCTCCAGGAATCTTCACATTGCTTCCCAGAATGAATTAAATTTGAGCTACTTTCTCTATTTATGAAGCTGAAGCGGCTCAGGAGAATTATTGGAATGTGCAAAGAATAGCATATTGCACCTAGGCTTTGATGTTAGAGTTTATGTAGCTGTGAATACTGAAAGAGCTCCTGGAAGTCCAATCACATAAGCTTAAAAAGACATTTATATCTTGTTTCCCTGTTGTTTTTCTATCCTAAGGTGGGGGGAAATCATCTCAGGTCAAAGACAAGTACAAGTAGGTATTTGGCATATATACGTCAAATACATAAAATGAAAATGCAACAGGTTGGAGTTTTGTCTAAAGCTAGGCTGCTGAAACTTAAATATTCAAGCAAGAAGTTAGGTATCTGAAAATTCATTTAAGAATTTGTTATTTGATTCCTTTTGGTTTTCTCTGGAATTCAGAACTTGATACAGAATTGTTATCTGTGTTAAGCTGAGTAAGCCTTATGGAAGTAACTTGCCTCCAAATCCTGAAATCATTGAATATATTCTGGAATATTACTGCTGAAATGTCCTAACTAGAGGACTGTAAAATATTTAGAGGTTTTCAAAATTTGCACAAGCTTTCAGTGCCTTTAACTTATAGGCAAAAGTGCTGGCTTTGTACTTGGATATATTGGATCCCTTGAGCCTGAAGTTTTTCTCCTAGCTAAAAGGAGCCTTCCTGCATAATTGTGTCCAGATTACTTTGTATCCGTGACATTAGGAGGAACTTTTTTCAATCTGTCTATGCTGGTGCTGTCTTCCATTGACTTTCACCTTTCCAGACACAAGAAAATGGGCAGTGGTGATGCATTTTGATTGTTAATTGGAACCATGGGGGGAGTTAGTAAAAGTAATTTTAAAGCTCATTTTGCTAGGACTTAGTCATAGCTGTGAGCCAGCATTAAACCTGTTCAAATGGCCTTCTTTATTGCTGCACTATTTTTAGGTTGAAAAGGCTATCTTTAGGAACATCTTTATTTGGTGAATCTTGTAGGGATATAGTTCATATATTCTCACACAGGCGTTCAAGGAGAACTTTGAAAAAACCGTAGGACTCTTCTGATATTGCATAACAGTTAAGCTGCAGTTCTAAATTGTTCCAGGTTGTTACCATTATCATTACTGAGAGCCTCAGAGAGAAAACCAACAGAAGATTTTTATGGCAACTATTGTATCTTCTTCTAGAAAAAGTGCTTACAGCTGAACTGCAGGTGG